AAATCCAAAAACTGTTTCATTAAAAAAAAGGCGATTTTCTTCCCGTTATTTCCCTGAACGAAGGAAAATGAAACAATCCTTTATTTCACCGTATCTGTTCCTACAAAGAGAGACTTTGAATGATGGAATCCTGTGACTCCAAAGGCAAACAGAAAGAGGTCGACTTACTAAAGGCAAACAGGCTGTTCGCTTTGCAAGGGAAAATGACCCGGGGGTTAGTGAAGGAGGTGGAGTTTCACAAAGAATACCCAATCACATGCGAGGAAAAAAAGAAAAAAAAAAAATCAGTCATTTGGTTACTTATGATTCGATGATGGAAGTCAGCAGATCTTCACCACAATCACTAAGATCAGGGGAAAATCCCCTTGTAAAGCGAAAAGCCTATCTGCCTTTAGTGCCTCCTCCCCCAGGACAGGAAGGGACCTGAATGTGGGGCGATTTACTGGAAAATGTGGAAATCTATCACCAGAATATACTAAAACTCTGCCGGAGTGAATGTTGTGCGGCCGAAATAAATAATCATGCAGAATTTTCAGCGCTCCGGGTTGGATACGGATTTGTTCAGCAATTTTTATAAAACAAGTTCAATAATTTTTGTAGATCCAATGTGATCAAGAAACAAATCTAACCCAGGCCATACGGGGATCGAATTCTGAACGAATTTTCTTTAGAAAATCATGAATTTTGTGCATTTTGTACTCCACCATGGATTTCGAAAATTCAAACAACCAAGCCGAAAAGAAAAGAATTTTTGTGGTTGGGAATATTCTTTTCTTTCTGGATTGCAGCTCCCGCTCATTTCTTTTTCGATTAAATTTCTCGCACAATTCTCCCACCATTGATTAGAGATTCGTTCGTTTTTACAAAGATTTCCAACCTGCTCGATCACTCAAATTTGATGGCCGCACAAAAATGCTGTGACCCCCACTAAAGGTGCGAGATTCGAACGGAAATAGTTACAATTTTCGAAGAAAAAAATAAACCTTTCGGAATTTGACAGTGAAGGAAATGTGTATTTGCTCCCCCCTGATGGTGAATGTTCACCCCTCACACAGAAATGATCGGTCTAACAATGGAATGTTCGCCCCTCACACAGAAATGATCGGTCTAACAATGGAATGTTCGCCCCTCACACAGAAATGATCGGTCTAACAATGGAATGTTCGCCCCTCACACAGAAATGATCGGTCTAACAATGGAATGTTCGGTGTAACACTGAGAGACAGAATAGCAACAACAAATTCAGCAGAAATGCGTCTAACAAATGATGACGGATCTGCATGTTCATGAGGGAAAGAAGGATTTGATCCCCTATCATTCAGCAGGATTTCTGGCTCCCAGGTGTCTTTCATACAGGTAACAAGCTGAGATTAGAAGCAGTCTCTTAAAGGGAGTGCTGCTAATCTCATTGTGTTACCTGTATAAAAGACACCTGTCCACAGGAGCCATCAAACCATCAGATTCCAAACTCTCCACCATGGCAAAGACCAAAGAGCTGTCCAAGGATGTCAGGGACAAGATGGTAGACCTACACAAGGCTGGACTGGGCTACCAAACTATGGCCAAGCAGCTTGGTGAGAAGGTGACAACAGTTGGTGCAATCATTCACAAATGGAAGAAACACAAAACAAGTGTCAGTCTCCCTAGGTCTGGTGCACCATGCAAGATCTCACCTCGTGGAGTGTCAATGATCATGAGAAATTAAAGATTTAGAAACAAAAGTAACTCCTATACCGGGTGTCGGCAACCCGCGGCTCCGGAGCCGCATGCGGCTCTTTTTCACCTTTCCTGCGGCTCCGGAGCACACTGCCCACCAGGTGACAGGCAATAGGGTCGGCAAGCCGCGGCTCTTTTAATGCAGATCTTCTGTGTGCCGGGCGCCCGCTGGCAAACATTGGCTGTCAGGATGTAGGCGGGGCAGCCCGGATGTAGGCGGGGCAGCGTGACGAACTCCTCTCCTCTCACAGTCCGCCCTGAAGACCAGAACGGCGCGGGAACCCAGCGAGAGGAACGCGCGGAGCAAAGGTAAGTGAATTCACACAATATGGGGAGTGAATTACTATGGGGGATGAATTACTATAGGGGGGATGAATTACTATAGGGGGGATGAATTACTATGGGGGATGAATTACTATATGGGGGATGAATTACTATAGGGGGGATGAATTACTACGGGGGATGAATTACTATGGGGGATGAATTACTATATGGGGGATGAATTACTATAGGGGGGATGAATTACTACGGGGGATGAATTACTATATGGGGGATGAATTACTATAGGGGGGATGAATTACTATAGGGGGGATGAATTACTATGGGGGATGAATTACTATAGGGGGGATGAATTACTATGGGGGATGAATTACTATATGGGGGATGAATTACTATATGGGGGGTGTATTTTCAGTTTTAAAAATGTTTCTCTCAAAATAAATTTCAATCGTGGTTTTGGCGAGATTTGGCTCAGTCGAAAAAAAAGGTTGCCCACCACTGACCTAAGGCTATGATTGTGATTATGATGATACACTGTGGCCCTGATTAACCCTTTGCTTACTGGGCCCTTAAACCCCCTTCATGACCAGAGCGTTTTTTGCAATATATGCAGTGTCGGATTTGTTTTTAAATGTTGCAATGGTTTTGCGGCTCCCAGTCTTTTTTTCCCTCTCGGAAACGGGTCCAAGTGGCTCTTTATGTCTTAAAGGTTGCAGACCCCTGTCCTAAACAGAAAACTTCATCTCACAATACACCACGGAAACGACGTGCAAAACACAAAATCGGGTCGCTGGACCGCTTCGTAAATCTGTATTATGTGTCGTCTCATCATCATCATCATTTTCTTTTTTTTTAAAAGATAGAACAAGGTTACGTTTTAGAACAAACAGAAGAATATATAATATTTCGCTTTTTATGGATTTTGGGGTCTCCTAAAGTCAGATTAACCTCGGAACTCGAATATCGAAATTCTTGTTACATTAAACGTAAAGTATCAAATATGAAGGAAATCGTTTATTAGAAATAGTTTATCAAATTATTATTTACATATAGAGAACCATCAATGCCTCTCAACTACTAACCCAACAACTCTCCCCACTTGTTGGACGTCGTCGATGTACCAAGACTTGTGGTTGGCGTAGCGGACCGCGCTTCGGTAAGATGTAGGAGATGTCCAGTGAACTGTGTAGGACCATCACTACTCCCTATTGGCTGCCATTTTCATACCAAACATGGGTCTAATCAGAGCCTCATCTGGGCACAGTGCCATCCCGGCAGATGGAAGAAGATGGCGGCTCTGATAAAGGTTCTGTCTGGGCTCGAGGTATAGGAGGTCAATGGCTGGAAAATGATATTCAAGGATTTAGTGTGGCCTGTGAAGTTGTGGGATTCTAAAGGCACAAAGGGTTAGAGCAGCAATTATACAACTAGGGGTCCTCTAGAGGAGGTCGGGAGGTCCTTGAGATATGGCTGATTGACCTTCATTGTGATGGTGAATATGTAGTTCAGGGCCAATGCCACTTGGAAGAGCCAGCTGACCACCAATCTAAGGACCTTCTTCCCACTGACCACCAATGTAAGGGACATTCTTCCCTCTGACCCCCAATGTAAGGGACACTCTTCCCACTGACCACCAATGTAAGATACATTCTTCCCACTGACCCCCAATGTAAGGGACATTCTTCCCACTGACCACCAATGTAAGGGACATTCTTCCCACTGACCACCAATGTAAGGGACATTCTTCCCACTGACCACCAATGTAAGGGACATTCTTCCCACTGATCACCAATGTAAGGGACATTCTTCCCACTGATCACCAATGTAAGGGACATTCTTCCCACTGACCCCCAATGTAAGGGACATTCTTCCCACTGACCACCAATGTAAGGGACATTCTTCCCACTGATCACCAATGTAAGGGGCATTCTTCCCACTGACCCCCCAATGTAAGGGACATTCTTCCCACTGACCACCAATGTAAGGGACATTCTTCCCACTGACCCCCAATGTAAGGGACATTCTTCCCACTGACCACCAATGTAAGGGACATTCTTCCCACTGACCCCCAATGTAAGGAGCATTCTTCCCACTGACCCCCAATGTAAGGAGCATTCTTCCCACTGACCACCAATGTAAGGGACATTCTTCCCACTGATCACCAATGTAAGGGACATTCTTCCCACTGACCCCCAATGTAAGGAGCATTCTTCCCACTGACCCCCAATGTAAGGGACATCCTTCCCATTGACCCCCAATGTAAGGGACATTCTTCCCACTGACCCCCAATGTAAGGGACATTCTTCCCACTGACCCCCAATGTAAGGGACATTCTTCCCACTGACCACCAATGTAAGGGACATTCTTCCCACTGATCCCCCAATGTAAGGGACATTCTTCCCACTGACCCCCAATGTAAGGGACATTCTTCCCACTGACCACCAATGTAAGGGACATTCTTCCCACTGATCCCCCAATGTAAGGGACATTCTTCCCACTGACCCCCAATGTAAGGGACATTCTTCCCACTGATCACCAATGTAAGGGGCATTCTTCCCACTGACCCCCAATGTAAGGGACATCCTTCCCACTGACCCCCAATGTAAGGGACATTCTTCCCACTGATCACCAATGTAAGGGACATTCTTCCCACTGACCCCCAATGTAAGGGACATTCTTCCCACTGACCCCCAATGTAAGGGACATTCTTCCCACTGACCCCCAATGTAAGGGACATTCTTCCCACTGACCACCAATGTAAGGGACATTCTTCCCACTGATCCCCCAATGTAAGGGACATTCTTCCCACTGACCCCCAATGTAAGGGACATTCTTCCCACTGACCCCCAATGTAAGGGACATTCTTCCCACTGACCCCCAATGTAAGGGACATTCTTCCCACTGATCACCAATGTAAGGGACATTCTTCCCACTGACCCCCAATGTAAGGGACATTCTTCCCACTGATCACCAATGTAAGGGACATTCTTCCCACTGACCCCCAATGTAAGGGACATTCTTCCCACTGACCCCCAATGTAAGGGACATTCTTCCCACTGATCACCAATGTAAGGGACATTCTTCCCACTGACCCCCAATGTAAGGGACATTCTTCCCACTGATCACCAATGTAAGGGACATTCTTCCCACTGACCCCCAATGTAAGGGACATTCTTCCCACTGACCCCCAATGTAAGGGACATTCTTCCCACTGACCACCAATGTAAGGGACATTCTTCCCACTGACCCCCAATGTAAGGGACATTCTTCCCACTGACCCCCAATGTAAGGGACATTCTTCCCACTGACCCCCAATGTAAGGGACATTCTTCCCACTGACCACCAATGTAAGGGACATTCTTCCCACTGATCCCCCAATGTAAGGGACATTCTTCCCACTGACCCCCAATGTAAGGGACATTCTTCCCACTGATCCCCAATGTAAGGGGCATTCTTCCCACTGACCCCCAATGTAAGGGACATCCTTCCCACTGACCCCCAATGTAAGGGACATTCTTCCCACTGATCACCAATGTAAGGGACATTCTTCCCACTGACCCCCAATGTAAGGGACATTCTTCCCACTGACCCCCAATGTAAGGGACATTCTTCCCACTGACCACCAATGTAAGGGACATTCTTCCCACTGATCCCCCAATGTAAGGGACATTCTTCCCACTGACCCCCAATGTAACCCCCTCCTGTAGTTTTCTGTAGTGGGTGGAGCCTGCTGGGCCCCTCCCACAGCTCAGCTACCTTTCCTTGTGCAGGGGGACTGATCTTGTCTCCACCTACTCCTGTAGTTTTTCTGCAGTGGGTGGAGCCTGCTGGGCCCCTCCCACAGCTCTTCTCTCTCTTTGGGCAGGGGGACTGATCTTGTCTCCACCCCCTCCTCTAGTTTTCTGTAGCGGGTGGAGCTTGCTGGGCCCCTCCCACAGCTCTGCTCTCTTTCCTTGTGCAGGGGGACTGATCTTGTCTCCGCCCCCTCCTGTCGTTTTCTGTAGTAGGTGGAGCCTGCTGGGCCCCTCCCACAGCTCTGCTCTCTGCTCAGGCTATGTACAGCCCAGTGATAATGTCACGGCTACTTTTACAAGGTAATATCTGGGTTTGTAAAGGTTTTTGTTGCACATTAAGTGGATTTTTATCCTCCTTGACGAATACATTTAAATGAACATTTTTATCCGTAGCGTCATTTAGGTACGATTTCCCTCTACTTTAGGAATGGCAGCGCCGCCGACGCCGCGTCCTCCCTCGCCCAGCACCAGGAGCGGATTTGGTTGACGTGTTTCTGGAAGCTGTCACTTTTCTTCCTCCATGCCGCCCTCTTATCTCTCGAATATAAAACATATTGCACAATTTATCTCATTCGGAGTACAAGGTGCACCCCGGCTAATGGGCTCCTGTGCTAAATGTACAGATAAAGTAACACCCGCTCTTCACGGCGCTGACAGCCGACTTTGAGGGAGTAAACGCAGCGCCCCCCCCCCCCCCATTGGAGGTATCCAGCAGGATGGACGGGGATGAGACACCAGGAGAGAGATGAATGTGCGGGGGGGTAATAATTCCAGAAACTTCCAGGATCCCTGCAATCACTTTATAAATTAGGAATGGGTGGGTGGGGGAGGGGAGTTAAAAGGCTGCCAGAGATGTATCACAATTACTGGCGGGGCTGTAATGAGGATCTTGTCACCGAGCTGTCACTCGGCTCCGGCCCAGCGTCTCCCATTCCGTAATAATAATAATAATATAAGAGGTGCGGGATGCTGGGAAAAAAAAAAAAAATGAGCGAGCGATCGGTGCGCCGGCCACTCCAACGCGCCTTTCAACCGGTTGGCCGCGCAATAGAAGATGCCACACTCGACAGCCGGAGATAAAATTGATAGGGAGGGTGGGTGGCTGGAGAGTGGGGAAAAAGAAAAAAGAGGAGGGTTACCACCGGCGCTGATCGATACCACTAAAAGCCGCGAGACGCCGTGATGGAAGGCAATTTTTTTGTCTTTGCTAAAGTATGGGAGCGAGCGGACGGTGATTCATGGGGCGAACGCGCGGCGGATAACGAAAGCCTGACAGGCCAATGAATCCTGGATGAAAGTTCGGCGTCTCTGAAGACAAAGCAAGGCGGAGGAGAGGAGGAGGACGAGAGATGGGCAGGGTGGGCACCGGGGATGGGGGGGGGGGGGCACAGGATGGAGGAAGGGGGCACAGAAAGGCCAAATCCACCTGGTCTGGAAGAAAGGGGTTAAAGCAGATTAAATTAAATTTATCTCATTAATAATTTCTTCTTTTTTCTTTTAAATAACTTCACGTTTATTTGTATCTTTTGTCCCATCTCTGTGCTGCTGAAGCCTCCTAACTGCCACTTCCCGGTTCCGGTGATGGCTGCTGTCCTTTCTCAGGAGGGAAGATGGTGTCATGGGAGCTGAAACTGCCACTTCCCATCTCTGGTGATGGCTGCCGGCATTTCTCAGGAGGGAAGATAGTGTCATGGGAGCTGAAACTACCACTTCTTGTCTCCGGTGATGGCTGCCGGAATTTCTCAGGAGGGAAGATGCTGTCATGGGAGCTAAAACTGCCACTTCCCATCTTTGGTGATGGCTGCCGGCATTTCTCAGGAGGGAAGATAGTGTCATGGGAGCTGAAACTACCACTTCTTGTCTCCGGTGATGGCTGCCGGAATTTCTCAGGAGGGAAGATGCTGTCATGGGAGCTAAAACTGCCACTTCCTGTCTCCGGTGATGGCTGCCGGCATTTCTCAGGAGGGAAGATGGTGTCATGGGAGCTAAAACTGCCACTTCCCGTCTCCGGTGGTGGCTGCCGGCATTTCTCAGGAGGGAAGATGGTGTCATGGGAGCTAAAACTGCCACTTCCCATCTTTGGTGATGGCTGGTGGCCTTTCTCAGGAGGGAAGATGGTGTCATGGAAGCTGAAACTGCCACTTCCCGTCTCCAGTGATGGCTGCTGGCATTTTTCAGGAGGGAAGATGGTGTCATGGGAGCTGAAACTGCCACTTCCCATCTCCGGTGATGGCTGCTGGCATTTTTCAGGAGGGAAGATAGTGTCATGGGAGCTGAAACTGCCACTTCCCGGTTCCGGTGATGGCTGCTGGCATTTTTCAGGAGGGAAGATGGTGTCATGGGAGCTGAAACTGCCACTTCCCGTCTCCGGTGGTGGCTGCCGGCCTTTCTCAGGAGGGAAGGTGGTGACATGTCATGGGAGCTGAAAGTGTCCCTTGCAGTCTCCATTGATAGCCCATGTGACAGGGTGACAACGCAGGAGGACGACTGGGAAACAGGGACTGAGCGTTGTGACCCCAATAACCCGGAGTGTCTGTGCGAGAACATCAATGGCAGGATCACCGGGGAGTGTTATAACGAAACTGCAGAGCTAACGAGATTGAAAATGATCCCTCAAATGACATTTAAATGTGAATGTTTCTACCATTCCCATTCATATACTGCGCTCGAGGATGAAGTTTGCATTGACTCTTTTTATTTCCTGGCTGTGACAATTCCCGGCTTTACCTCCCTGGAGAACCCACAAGAAGGCCACCTGGGGAGTCTCACCTCTCCTGCTGCAGGAAATGTGATATCAAATAAATGTCTGAAATGGTAATAATATTAAATTACCCAAATATAAGAGAAAAAGTGTATATATAATTTATTGTTATTTATATTTATTTTATATGACATTAAATATTATTTACATTTAAAGTATTTATGCTATAAGGATTTCTAATATATATATATAAATTGTAGATAGATAGATAGATAGATAGATAGATGATAGATAGATAGATAGATAGATAGATAATAGATAGATAGATAGATAGATAGATAGATAATAGATAGATAGATAATAGATAGATAGATAGATAGATAGATAGATAGATAGATAGATAGATAGATAATAGAGAGATAGATAATAGATAGATAGATAGATAGATAGATAGATAATAGATAGATAGATAGATAGATAGATAATAGATAATAGATAGATAATAGAGAGATAGATAGATAGATAGATAGATAGATAGATAGATAGATAGATAGATAATAGATAGATAGATAGATAGATAGATAGATAGATAGATAGATAATAGATAGATAGATGATAGATAGATAGATAGATAGATAGATAATAGATAGATAGATAGATAGATAGATAGATAGATAGATAGATAGATAATAGATAGATAGATAGATAGATAGATAGATAATAGATAGATAGATAGATAGATAGATAGATAGATAGATAGATAATAGATAGATAGATAGATAGATAGATAGATAATAGATAGATAGATAGATAGATAGATAATAGATAGATAGATAATAGATAATAGATAGATAGATAATAGATAGATAGATAGATAGATAGATAGATAGATAGATAATAGATAGATAGATAGATAGATAATAGATAGATAGATAATAGATAGATAGATAGATAGATAGATAGATAATAGATAGATAATAGATAGATAGATAGATAGATAGATAGATAATAGATAGATAGATAATAGATAATAGATAGATAGATAATAGAGAGATAGATAATAGATAATAGATAGATAGATAATAGATAGATAATAGATAGATAGATAATAGAGAGATAGATAATAGATAGATAGATAGATAGATAGATAATAGATAGATAATAGATAGATAGATAGATAATAGATAGATAATAGATAGATAGATAGATAGATAGATAGATAGATAGATAATAGATAGATAGATAGATAGATAGATAGATAGATAGATAGATAGATAATAGATAGATAGATAGATAGATAGATAATAGATAGATAATAGATAGATAGATAGATAGATAGATAGATAGATAGATAGATAATAGATAATAGATAGATAGATAGATAGATAGATAATAGATAGATAGATAGATAGATAGATAGATAGATAGATAATAGATAGATAATAGATAGATAGATAGATAGATAGATAGATAGATAGATAGATAGATAGATAATAGATAGATATAATAATAGATAATAGATAGATAGATAGATAGATAGATAGATAGATAGATAGATGATAGATAATAGATAGATAGATAATAATAGATAGATAATAGATAGATAGATAGATAGATAGATAGATAGATAGATAGATAGATGATAGATAATAATAGATAGATAGATAGATATAATAATAGATAATAGATAGATAATAGATAGATAGATAGATAGATAGATAGATAGATAGATAGAATATATAGATAATAGATAGATAGATAGATAGATATAGATAGATAGATAGATAGATAGATAGATAGATAATAGATAGATAATAGATAGATAGATAGATAGATAGATAGATAGATAGATAGATAGATAATAGATAGATAGATAGATAGATAGATAATAGATAGATAGATAGATAGATAGCTAATAGATAGATAATAGATAGATAGATAGATAGATAGATAGATAGATAGATAATAGATAGATAGATAGATAGATAGATAGATAATAGATAATAGATAGATAATAGATAGATAGATAGATAGATAGATAGATAGATAATAGATAGATAATAGATAGATAGATAAAGAGATTGATAGACAAAATCTTTTTATAACATAATAAGTAGAGCAGAGATGTGATGAGATCTCACAGATCTTTGTAGCGGGGGGGCAGGGGGGCCCTCA